AAGGAATGCAGGGCGGCGCAAGCGAGGGAGGCAGGGCAGGCAAAGACCTGGGCAGACCAGAAACCAGGAAGCGAGAGTGCATGCCACGAAGGCGCTGCACCGAGGGGTGACCAAGGCGGTGGTGCCACAGGAGGGTCTGGTGCGACAAAGCGCGACACTCGCAGGGGGCCGTCGGCTGACCGGACGCAGACGCAGACGCAGACGCAGCTACCTGAGCGGACGCAGTGGTCAGGGTGTACAGACTCGAGCCAGGCGCACGGGAAAACGTGGCCAGGTGTCGGCCGGTCCGAGCACACGTGCAGTGAGTCACCCGCTGACTCGCAGGAGTGAACTGGTGCACCCCCTGATCCTGGAGGTCAGCTCCACTCACCAAGTTCGTAGAGAACGAGGGGAGGTAAAGACCTGACAGCAAGCCAGACGGGGCGGCCGGACACGGCAGAACCGTGGAGTAGTGGGCAAGGACTGGACCCCCAGAGGGGTCCGCCAGGGAGACTGCAACCGGCCGACTAAGCGGCGTGAGTGTGGTGCAGTCGCGAAAGAAGGAGCGGGAAGCTCCTGAGTCAAGCGTCAAGGTGTACAAGGCCGCAGCAGGCGCAGAACTAGAGAGAGCAGACTCACCAGCACCTGGAGCAGGAGACGTACCGGCACCTAGAGCAGCAGCCTCACCAGCACCCAGAGGAGGAGACGCACGAGCACCTAGGGCAGCAGCCTCACCAGTACCGGGAGCAGCAGGTGCTATACCAGGGTCAGGCGGGACGCACAGGTAACAGGCACGGTCAACACTAGTAGGCAATGCATACATGGCAGTGAGAATAGCATCATAGTCAGGAGCAAAGATATCTACCCTCTGTCCAAGCAGCTCCAGCCAGTCGGGGAGCTCAGCCTCGTCGCCAAACACTGTACGCCAGTCGTCGCTCAGACGGGCGAAGCAGCGGGACTGTGTGTGACCAAGCGTCCCGCAAGGCTGACCAGTCCTATCACCGGTGCGAATGACGTACTGGCAGCGAACTGTACGCGTAGACCTGCTACACTGAGCGTACCACTCGTGGAGCTGCCGGGACGTAAGTGTCTCGCGTGGGCGCCGCTGCAGCTGCAGCTGGCCACTGCTAGAGGCCCCCAACTGACCAGCTCCAGGGCGACAGCTACGACGGCTACCACGACAGCCCCAACTAGTATACCACTCACTAAGCTGCTGGGGCGTGAGAGACTCGCGTGAGCGTTGCTGGAGCTGCATCTGGTCCCTTGCTAAGAGCTAGCAGCAGCAGCAGCTCGGGCAGGGCAGGCGCGGCAGGCCGGCAGACAGACAGGCAGGCCGGCAGGCAGGCAGGCAGGCAGGCAGGCTGGCAGGCAGGCAGGCTGACAGGCAGACAGGCCGGCAGGCAGGCAGGCAGACTGACAGGTAGGCAGGCAGGCCAGCAGGTAGGCAGGCAAGCCGACAGGCAGACAGGCCGGCAGGCAGGCAGGCAGGCAGGCAGGCAGGCAGGAAGGCAGGCAGGCAGGCAGGCAGGCAGGCAGGCCAGCAGACAGACAGGCAGGCAGGCAGGCAGGCAGGCAGGCAGCCAGGCAGGCAGGCAGGCAGGCAGGCAGGCAGGTGCTCACCAAAGGCTGGAAGAGTAAGTGCTCGCCGGGCGAGCAGGGCCGAGTAGGCGCACGACTGCAGCGACGGTGGAGCCGTAACAGCGACTGCAGAGTAGGGCCGCAGCAACTGCAGGGTGGGGCCGCTTCAGCGGCAGTCGCAGAGTGGGGGCCGCATCAGCGGCAAGTCGGGGCCCCGGGAGCTGCAGCGCGGGGCCGCAGCAGTGGAAGGTCGGGGCCGATGCAGCTGCAGGCTATGCAGTGCAGCGCGCGCGGCTGCTGTGGGCTGTGCGCGGGCTGCGGGAGGCAGAAGCAGGCCGCGCGCAGCAGCAGCAGGCCTCGCGCAGCTCAGCAGGGGCTGCGCGCAGAAGCAGGAGGCCGCGCGCGGCTCGGCAGGGGCTGCGCGCGGCTCGGAGGAGGTCGCGCGCGGCAGCAGCGGGCTGCGCGCGGCTCGGCGCGGGCTGCGCGCAGCTGAAAAAGGGCCGCGCGCGGCTCGACAGGGCTGCGCGCAGCCAAAAACGGGCCGCGCGCGGCTCGAATAGGCTGCGCGCAGCAGGAAACGGGCTGCGCGCGGCTCGACGGGGCTGCGCGCGGCTCGGCGGGGACACGCGCGGCTCGGCGGGGGCTGCGCGCGCCAGATCCGGGCTGCGCGCGGCTCTATGGGGCTGCGCGCGGCTCTATGGGGCTGCGCGCGGCTCTATGGGGCTGCGCGCGGCTCGGCAGGGCTGCACGCGGCTCGACGGGGGCGGTGCGCCGCGATGACGGTGTGTGAGAGGCAGCAGAGCGGCGCGAGCAGCGAGGGACAGTAGCAGGCAGCGTGCTTGACGTAGGTCTGCGCGGTAGCAGCAGCAGACGGCACAGTAGGCAGCAGGCAGTAGGCTACAGGCAGACGGCGCGCGCAGCGCAGCACGTCACAGGCACAGGCACAGGCGTGGGGTAGCGGTAGGTGGGCCCGGAAAAAAAAAACGGTCCTACGGACCTACTGCTCTGAAACCATGTTAGAATCTAGAGACAAGGATGATGCATTGATCAAGAGTTGGGTACATAAGCTAACCCTAACATTGGGTTGTACCCCATATGGGCTACCCCACTAGCAGCCTACACAAACACAATATGCATAGTTTGACAGGTAGGACTCAACTCTCGCATCAAAGACTCATTAATATCCTCGCTTATACTACCAGATGGACAAACCATCTCAGATCTACGAGCCATGAACGCTGAATGCACCAATCTCTTCCAGTCTCTCTACAGCGGAGCAACCCCGGGCGTGCCAAATCCTGCCTTCTGGGCTCATATCCCCCCCTCTTCACTCCCCCCCAGACTCCTCAACCATCTGCAAGCTCCCTTTTCCCTAATGGAAATTAGCAAGGCCTTAAACCAGTTGGGGCATCTACAAAAGCTATTTGGAACGCACGCTGTGAACACAAGTTCCAAGATTCGCCCCCCTCCCGGTTTGAAATCCTCCAGCTCATACTGGCAAAGTTCCTCATTGCTTTCAAAATTTTCTTATGGCGCAGGAAGAAACAATCAGTGAAAAAACAACAACGCTCAGCCGCTCGTATTAAGCTGGCCACTCGACTTCGCTTTCTCGTCTTCGACCACAACGGAACCCCTTCTATCCACCCAGACCTCCGCTCTTCCTGGCTGCTTGGGGACCCTTTCCGCCCCCCCCTAGCCCTCCCACCCTTTGTTGAGCATAGAAGAGCTCCCCAGCTGAGCTGGTGGCTATCCTTGGATAGGGGAATAACGTGTTTTCCTACGTACGCCTCTGGGCTGTTGGTTTGTGTAGACCATATTTCTAGCTACTCTATGCTTTGCTGTACACGGTTACGACCTAATATAACCTTAACCTTAACCTCACTCTTCTCACCGGCGGAAGCACTGGCTACAGTGTTTGGACGTAGCGGGCTGGTGAGATAACTTGGTTGCGGGCAAAGTCGCACGAGGCGAGGAAGCAGGACTTGGGCAAACAAAAACCGTTACCGCTGAATATCCGTCTTAACCGCTTTCAAACCAGCAGTAACCTTCTAGAACGTATAAAACCTTGACTCAACGCCTTGGGTCAAATTGTCACTATAACGCATGTGATAGGACCTTCTTTGGTCCGCTGCGGCTACACTAAGCGTCCCGGTCAGTATAACATATGCCAGTCTATCGAGAATGAGGGTGTAGTGGCTTCGCATATTTCGCATCTAGATTCCCTCTGATCCTGGGCCTGGGGTTGGGAGGAGATTAGGAGGCACAGAATTTTCGAACGAAATCTTCAACCAAACCTAATGCTGCCGTTGTCTAGCAACAGTACTTAGGGGGGCAGTTACTAGAAAATTTCCAGCTGGCCCGTCTGGCGGACGTGAGTGACTCACAACATGCTGCCATCGCTGGCAGCATACCAGACTTTCTTGAATGTTACATTTCGAGCCATTCGTCGACGGGGGAATCACGGTCGACTGCTGGCGCTACGCTATGCACTTCACCCAACATTTCTTTCGATCGATATGCGTATCCATGGCAGTTCGCGATCAGGACTCCAGACCAAAGCCACTTTTATTCGATCCCTGCCCGCCCACCGCAGTCCAGCGCACCGCGATAACTTATCTCGATTTTGCACGCCGATGGTCGGGACATGGGCGGCAAGTGGACGCAATTGTCCCTCGTTTCGTTCAACGAAGTTCGTTCGAACGACGGCACTGCAGTTCGCTCGTTCCCATTTCTTAGATTCCGAAATCCGAACCACCGCAAATTTCGCGGATTGTGAGTCTCACGCGAGCGATATCCCTCCAGCTTTTCAGGAGAGGAGGAAAAGGCGGTCGAGTTGAAGGAATCGGAGAACAAACCCCCTGAAGTGAATGTACGGGAGATTGTGAGGGAGTGAAGTGGAGATTAGACGAGAGTGAGAAGTTGTGAGCGAGAGAGTGAGTGGTAAAGTGGAGGGAGAGTGGAGGGAGAGAGTGAAGGACGAGAGTGAAAGTTATTGGAGATAGGGAAGGGAGTGGGTGGGAGTGAGATTGAGGCTGAGTGGCAAGCGGCCTTTCTTTCAACTTGTAAAAGCCAGCTTGTCGCTTCATCCAGATTCATTAGCGCACGATTCATTCCTGGTCTCGTCTTTTCAAACTCACGTTCTGCTATTTGCCCTTCTCTCGCTTACTACACGGATTCCTTTTGAGATTACAAGTCCTCGTGTACCCCCGTAGACTCAGTCCCCAAACAACGCGGCCTTTCCCCGCTACTTCATCCCCTGCTCCGCCAAACCCCCACAGCGGCAGCCATAGATTCATCGTCTTTACTTTCTCACTGCAGCGACGCGCCTCGTCTGACCCTCACGGATAGCACTCCCCTCCCGCAGCAACCTTCAACTTGAAGTTGAAAGAAAGGTCTCATTTAACTTGAAGCTTACCATGTCCCGCCCGCGCTGGTCGCGCCTGATGGGTCTTCCGCGCGAGGCTCCGCGCGGGGGCCTGGACAACGCGCGCAACGCCTTCCGCGGAGTGCGCCAGCGCAAGTGGGGCTCGTGGGTGGCGGAGATCCCTCACCCGCGCCTCCGAACGCGCGTCTGGCTCGGATCCTTCCGCACGGCGGAAGCAGCTGCACGGGCTTACGACCGCGCTGCTCTCAAGCTGCTCGGTCCTTCCGCTGCTCTCAACTTCCCGCAACCCCAGGAGGCGGCTTCCCCGGACAGCCCCACCTTGGGAGTTACACCTGAACCCTCGGAGCCGCTAGGGTGTGGAGAGTTGGGTGCTGTATGGCCGGAAACCCCAGGCCACGTGCGAGCCCTCCCCGCTGGCGCTTCCCCTACAGCTGGCCCTGCAGCCGCCCCTGCAGCCGCCCTTGTCGCTGTTCCTGCCGCTGCCCGTGCCGCTGCCCTTGCTGCTGCCACTGAAGTCGCCACGCCTGACGCTTCTCAGGCCAAAGCGCGTCTCCTGGCATCACAGTGCGGCCCAGATAGCAAGAGAAGAGCCCGTGACAGCATCACAAGAACCCTGCACGTTGCTGGGAGGGACGCGATGAAACCCCTTACGCCACCCGTGCTGTCCCCGCTGGCCCATCCGAGCACAGCAGCAGCAGCAGCAGCAGGCGTTTTGGCGTCGCCTCTGCCTCCCGTGACCAGCTTCGCTTCCCTTCTTTCCTCGACTGCACGCCCCTTCAGTCCCACAGCCGACCCTGCCCTTGAAACCTGCACAAACTTCTCTGCAATGGCTGCGGTACAGAGCGGTTCAACTTCCTTGCCCCTCCCAGCTGCACGCTTCAGCCCCACAGCTGACCCTGCACTTGGCACCTGCACCAACTTCCCTGCTCTGACTGCGGTGGAGAGCGGTTCCAGAACGCCTGCTGCTCCTGCTTTCACCAGCACCAGCATCTGTGGGGGTTTTCCTGCAGGGCACACGAGGGCACAGATGCTGCCACAGATGCTGCCACAGGTGCTGCCACAGGTGCTGCCACAGGTGCTGCCGCCATACCTAGACAGCATGGGAGCAGAGACGGGTCATCAAGCAACAGCTATCACAGTCACCACTGGCGTCACTGCATGCCCCGTTGCTGCTGCTGGAGAAAAGCTACCGTCCCTCCCAGGCCGTTTGCTGGGGACGACTTGCCCTGATGCTGCTTCTGGGAAGGTGCTGCCGTCCCTCCCAGGCCCTGTGCCGTCCCTGTCAGGCCCTGTGCCGTCCCTCCCAGGCCATGTGCCGTCCCTGTCGGGCCATGTGTCGGCGTGTGTAGCTGCGCTGGCGGCTCTGGGTGCTAGCGTCTTGCTCAACGCACCTGTGCCTGCTGCTCTGACTGCATCCCCTGCTGTTGTCCCTGTCACTGCTCTGGTCACTCCTGTCTTTCCTGCTGCGGCTGCTCCTCCCCCTCTTTCTGCTCCTCCTCCTGCTGCTCCTCCTCCTCCTCCTGCTCCTCCTCCCCCGGCTGCTCCTCCTCCTGCTGCTCCTCCTGTCACTCCTGCTGAAGCCACACCAGCACAGGCAGCAGCAATGCACAGAAGCTATTCGACGCTGCCCCTCCCTCCCACTTCACCCTGCATCGTCCCATCCACTTGCCTCTCCGAACCACTCACTCCTCAGAACCGCAATGCACGCCTCCATCCCGCCACCACAGGTACCTGCACTCCTTCTCCTGCCGCAGCCACCGGTGCCAGCGCCAGCGCTGCTACAAGAAAGAGGTCATGGGAGCAGGTTGCCATGCCGATACAGTCACACGTGTCGCACATGTCACACCCGTCACACCAGGCAGCTCCTACAGTCACACCACTGGACGGCGCTGCTACAAGAAAGAGGTCTTGGGAGCAGGCTGCCATGCCCATACAGTCACACCAGGCAGCTCCTACAGTCACACCATTGGACGGCCAGCTGGCGGCTTTGCTGCGGGAGATGGAGGTGGAGGAGGAGAGACGGGTAATGGAGGCTTCATGGGTTGAGCAGTCAAAGCAGGTCGAGACGCTGTTGCTGAAACTTGAAGAGCAGGAGAGAAAGGAAAGAAGGATTTCGAGCGGTGAGCAAGCAGGGCAGGTTGGACCATTGCTGCGTAGATTCAACAGCCCTCCGCAGGTGCAGCATGAGGTGCAGGCAGCGGTGCAGTTGCGGGTGCCTTTGCCTCAGATTCGCCCAGCGCAGCAAGTGCATGCGCCAGCTCAGCAGCACCCACCACAGCATGTCCATGTGCCAGCTCAGCAGCCATCCACAAATTCCACGCTGGACTCTTTGCTGCAGCAGCTGGAGGCGACACAGCAGTATGAGATGATGCTTCTGGCTCAGGCGATTGAAGCACAGAGGATGGTGGAAGAGCGGGTTTCTGCTCTTCAGCCTATGGTTTTGCCCGCGCTGCCCCAATTTCAGCCGGCTGTGCAGGTCTTCTCCGTGTCACCACTTGCGCCTCCTCGTCATCAGTCCATGAATTCAACGGTGTTGCTCAAGAAAACCGTTTCTTTGGAGCCCCACACTCCTACCAGCTCAAATTTTCCGTCATTTAAAAATACAGGTTCACAGAGCTTGAGTGTTACAGATTCCGAGCTTGATTTTCTGGACGACATAATGAATGCATGGGACTGAAAATCGTAAGAAGTCGGTTTCCTGTCACTTGTGATACTAGTAATTAATGGAAATCATTTTTGTAGATGTAAATAAACGTGCAGCATGCTTGAACAATATTAAATTGCGTCATCAACACCCCTCACCTCACTCACTCCTCGTTCTTTTTATATAAGAGTTTTCAAAAACATATTTTGCTGCATATGCATTACTGTCTTATGGAGGGCGGACAATGTCGAATATACCTCCCCCTTTCCAACCTAAAACGAGGGTCTAGATTTGACAGCGGGAGGTTCAGAAGTTTTTTTTCTGAACCAGGCTTGCCAGCGCGAAAGTGTTGCAGGCGGAAACCTGGATTTCGCGTGGTCACTTTTCTTCCGCAGTAACAACTCGCCAGGATTTAGGGTTTCGGGTGCCAAATGTGCACCGTCGCTCTAGCAACCCCTCCATCTCCCACCCAGGACAATTTCCCCCTTCCCCCTTTCCCCTCTCCCACACAAACCCTATCGCATTTCGCGAAACGCTCAACCTCGTGCGCCTTCGCGAACTGAAACCCATCAGGTCGTGAAACCCATCAGTTCAACCCCTGCTACGGTGTGCATCGTATTCGTGTGTGGGTAAATCAAAATCGGATGCGATGTGCAGTGCAATTTTGCGTCTTTCACAGTACGGCCTGATTTCACAAGCTTGATCTTTCCACCCTACCTCGTGAAACGTTTGGGCCAGGGCTGCCTATGGCGCGTCGCGCGCTTCCGATGGTTTGGCCAGGTGTATGTAATCTGGCTCTTGATTCTCTTCACGTGCCTCAACCCTGTTCTCATGAGCGGGCATTTCCGAGTTCCTTCGTCTCACGTGATTATTGCGAAATTTATACGACCATCGTGAGTTATCTATCTGACGTGGTTAGATTTCCTTCATCTTGCGTCCTACAACTCCGTCAAATAGATTTCCCGCTAGATCCCTTCACGTGCTAAATACTCAGAATCTCTATGACTCACCAGATCTAGCGTGGAAGGCGGTGATGCTCGCGGGAATTTCCCCTTATCTTCCGCTTGCAATCGTAAATCTAGATTTCGTAAACTATCAAGGAGTACCTTATCAGCTTCAGCCAGACGTCCTCCGTTATGGCGGCGTATCTCGTCCCCTTCAGGTCTGAGTCACCGCCGCGTTCACATGCCAACACATCACTCCCATGGGTCACTATTCGTCCAATGGCGAGAGTCGCGCGCATCGCTCGGCGGACAGGACCACAGTGGTGGTTCTGGAAGCGAGGGCCGGGAAACTCTGGAGAGGAGGGAGGGGAACTCTTACTCGCCGGGGCCCAGTGACTCGTAACGTCATCATATAAAGCAGCGTGCGAATACCGCTTCTTCCTATCAATCCATCTCGTTCTACGTTTCTGACTGCTGTCACTAGCAGAACTACCTCGTTCCTACTATTTACCGCCGCACCGCACCTACCACAGTCTCCAGTACTGCCATCTCGTTTGAGAGCTCAGATACATCACGCAATGGCGAACCGCGCCCAGCGTTACTACTCCCCTACAACTGCGCGAACCACGGCGCAGCGTTTTTCAATCTTCAGCGATCGCGATCTCGATCTCTATCCCGCGCCGCACTGGGGAGAAGAGCAGCAGCCGTCCGTGTTGGACGCATCGTTTGCGCCGTCTCGTGCCGCGACGATGCTCTCTGCCTGCTCCGCGCAACATCAGGCTCCCCGCGCCACACCCGCCGCCTCCGCTCCTCCGAGGAGTTCCGCGAGTCGAGGAAGTCCCCCCTCCCCTCGCCGCGGGGACGCGCCTGCGTCTGCCCACCGCCGTGCGCTTTCCGCCGCGGACGTGTGCGGAAGCCGCCATTTGCTGCCCTCGCCTCCCCGCGGAGACAAAGCCGCCACCTGCGCGTTCCGCCGCCGCCGCCACCAACTCGCAGCTTCCAAGCAACCCTCCTTCACGGCCGCAGCCACCACGGCCTTCGAAACTCGGGCATCAGCAAAAACGTTCTCCGCACGACCTGCCAGCTCAAGGCCCGCGAGGAAGCAGCGTGCAGATGGTCAACGCGAAAAAGGCCAGGACGATGCTGAGGGTACCCCGTCGCCTCGGGTGTTCGCGAGGAGCAAAGCGTATTCAACTCCTGCGACTGTGGTGGCCCGGGGCCAGCACACACTTGCGCGTCAAGGAAAGCTGGACTACCAAGTGGTAGCAGCGGCTCAGGCAGCAGCACAGACAGCATCAGATACAGCAGCAGAGGCGGCACCAATGGCAGCAGCAGAGGCGGCACCATCGGCAGAAGCACAGGAGGCATCAGGTGTGGTTAGCAGATATGCGAGGGCCTTCTTGCTGCGGATGGTCCCCCATGCCCATGGTCGCCAGGCCGGAAGCAGCGCCAGTGCTGCCAGTGCAGGTCCCTGCAGCAGCACCCCTATTTCTCCCACTTCCCCTGCCTCTGCCCCTTCCCTAGGAACATACAGCTGCTGCAGTGCTCCTTCCTCTCCTCGTTCCCCGCTGCCCTGCTCTATGCCTGGTAGTACCAGTGGTGCTCTCACCTCCAGCGGTGCTCTCACCTCCAGCGGTGCTCTCACCTCCAGCGGTGCACTCACCAGCAGGCAGGCAGGGGCTGAGGAAGGGAGTTACCAGCCAGTGCGGGTCAGGCCGTGCCTCACTGCTCCCCCCACCGCGTGCAGCTTAGAAGCACGCTCGCCTAGCAGGAGCCCCAAGCGTGTGAGCTTTGTCAAATACGTTGAGATTCTGAAATTTGTTGCCTAGGCAGTTAGAGCTTTTGGTCACATCGAAGTGTACAAGCCTGTTGGTGTACATATGGTTGAATAATTGCCACACCTTTACAGGGATGGAAAGCCATGGGATGGGGCTAGTCCAGTTTGTGCTTGTGCATCAGTGTGCTACTAAGGCACCGGTAGCAGAAGAGGCATTGTGATGGTGCGGTGCACCTTTTGTTGCTATGTATGCTTATCTTGTCCGATTGGATCCTGCAGTTATGCCCATAATGATGCTTGAATCAAAGAATGTACCCCTTTTGTCTTGGAATTTACATCTACTATTGAGCAATACCTTTCAACGAACACTCATGTCCAATTAAATATGCAATTATTACAACGAAACGCTCGTTCCCTCTCTCAGTTGCACTCGTAATAATGGTACTTTTCTTCCAATTAAATATTATAATAGCATTTATAATAATAATGTACATATTGAGCGAACTTTGCCATCGATTATCGCTCTAGGATGCCCTTCGTGCTGAACGCGGCTCGCGCGTCGCTTTTTCCGTTTCACGGAACTGCAATGTCGAGGAATGAGGGCCCATCAACTGGAAAGTCGTAGTGGACGGAGGGAAGAGACGAGGCGTGGAGCAACTCATTGCTGAGCATTCAGCGCGCGCCGGGAGGCTATTCTCTGCGCTGCGGCCCAGGCGAACACCGATCTCACTGGGTCCCTGACAGCCCGCTGCTGCTGCTGCAGCTGCTGCTGCTTCAAATGCCTCTGGCAATTTCCACTCATCAACTGGACAGGAGTTTGGGCTGCAGACGACGTTTCTGTGAGGGGAACCGAGCGAGCTGAGCTGGCTGGAGGCGGCGAGCGTGAATCGCGACGCGCTTAATAGTAGCTAGCCGCTTGCATCGGCGCGCATGCACCTACTGATTCCGAACTCGACGATCGCCGGCTTTGCGCGGACTCGGAGAGACGACGCGGCGCGCCTGCACGAGCAGAGTCGGCCGATCTCGCAGTCGGAAAAATCTGCTGCCGCCTGCTGTCGCACCCGTATCCGTCGCACGTGTTCGCAGAGTCTGCTGTCGGCAGTGCTGACGGCGTTGCGCCTTCTGGCCGTCTGTAGATGACCGCTCCGCCCCGCCGCCAGAAAAGCGCATTCATAGCGTCGTTCCAGAGCGCGCCAGTGTCCTTTTCGCCCAGCGCGTGCGCGCTCCCGAGCGGCAGAGCGCGCGGCGGGACACTCGCCTCCGCGCTTCTGAAACGAGCGCATCCAGCGGTTGCATCAACCTTCCGCTTGCGCCAACTAAATCGTTTTCCCCGCCCCGCGTTGCTAGCGCGGGCTCGCTTCGGCTGCGCTTAAGCCGCCGGTGCTGCGCGCCGATAATCGCGCTGCTGTACTCAGCCAGGGGCTTGCTCGCGCGATTCCACGAATCCAGTCGCCGCTGGGCCGAGTCCAGCGACAGCCTTCCGCGATCCTGAGAACCGTTGCCAGACGGCATGTATGGGGAAACAGAAGGGCTACTCGTGTCGCGCGGGCTGTCGTTGGCGGCGGTGAGAGCGACGAGATGCTGCAGCTGATGCAGTGATAGCCCGTGGCTTGCGCGCTGCGTTGACGGCGGCTCTTGGCGCGGCGCGCCGCAGGCGGTGTCGTTAGTGGGTGTGTTGTTTTCTGGCGCATTGGAATTGAAGCGAGTGGTCGGTGGCGGTAAGTCCGAGGCGCCTTGCGATCGCCCGGCCGCCGCGTTGGCCGGAATTTGCGGGAGACGAAGAAGCGGAATTTGAGGGCGACGAAGGCTGTGACAGTAATGCGAACTGCTGCGCCGTGGTGACAGCGGTTGCGCGAAATGCAGCTGTCGCGGAGAGGGTATAACGAGGAAGACTGTCAGAAGAAGACATGGTTGCTGCTTGTGGCTGAGAGATTGGAGCTGGTTTTTTTCTAGCTCAAACGAACAGACTTCAGGCTTAGTGGTGTGAGCGCCAAAGATTGATGTCGGGGCTAGCAGAATGCCCGCTATTTGTGTTTCCCGCGGTTTAGTGAAATGCCTCTTGAGCGGGCAGCACGACGAGACGAGATGGCTTCCACACCACTCGACCTACTCGCTTGGCTTCGCAAACGAGTTACCCCCCTTCGCGAACGTGCCCCGCCACTAGGGGTTACCAAATCACACGGTGGGTTGTTCGCCGTGTGAAGAGCTGGCAGACAGGGCATGTGGTGGAAACAGAGGTTTGCTTATGACGTGGATTTGCGGAAGCGCCGCCTTGCGTATCTGCTTGGGAATGTTGGAGATTTTCTTTGCGGGGAGGGAACCACATGTCAAATTCTCAGGACAAAAGGGGAAGGCCTTTTTCATTTTTGTGGTTGCTGTTTCTGTGTTGCTAAAACAAACATTCGAATTCTAAAATGCATGTGTGTTATGAGTTGTCAAGCAGAGTTGCGCGGAATAACGAATAACGAGGCTGTGACTCAATGAACTGACGATACAATGAAGGACATGCGATTATATAGCGAGGCAACCTAACTAGGCGGGAACCTCGGGAACACGAGGTTGAGTGCAGGTTGGGCAAAGGAAAGCCGAAGGCGACGCGAGGTTGCTTCGGCAGCAAGCAACGGGGCCGAACGTGCACTTTTGAAAGTTGGGGTTGTACGCGGTTGAGTAAACCCCAGTAAGGAAAAAGGGTTTTTCCTTACACTACCCCCCCCTTAAGAAAGGTGGTCAACATCCACAGCTCGCTTGCGGGCGAGGTAATCACCAAGAAGCGGGGAAGCTTCAAGCGAGGCGGATGGCACCCATGTGTCGTCCTCACTGGTGCGGTCAGTCCAACGGATAAGAAAGTCCACGTGGCGTCCCGAAGCGTCGAGCCGAACACGATGCGCCAAAATCTTGGACGGGTCGAGTGTCGGTTCCGGGACAGGTCGAGCTGTCGGGACGGCGTTCTGGCGCGCGATGTCTGTCGTGGCAGGCACGAACTTGCGAAGTAAGCTGACGTGGAAGGCGTCGTGAATACGCCAGTCGTCGGGTAGTAGCAGCTTCGCGGTGACAGGTGTCACCATCTTGATGATCTTGAAAGGCCCACAGAAACGCGGCCTTAATTTCGATGGGCCAGGCAGATGCAGGTTCTTCGTGTCGAGTAGCACTAGTTGCCCAGCTGTCATGACGATTTCCCGTCGTAGGAGATCCGAATATTTGCGGGAAGTGGTATTTGCCTTGCGAATTGCGTCCGCAGCCTTCTCGCGAATTTCTTGGAGTTCTGTCACAAATGTTTGTGACCGTGGGACCGGGTTGTCAAGTGTAGTCGTTGTAGGTACCACCGGGTCCATCCCGTAATTCAAGAAGAACGGGGAGTGATTAGTCGTGCTGGACGGAGCGTTGTTGAACGCGAATTCCAGCATGGCGAGCGAATGTTCCCAGCGAGCGGGGTCGGGGCAGTTTGTCCTGATCAGCTGCTCCATCGTCTGATTGGTCCGCTCGGTCTGGCCGTCGGTTTGCGGGTGGTATGCCGACGAGAACTGTAGCTTCGTGCCGTACTGCGCCCACGTCTCCTTCCAAAATTTTGAAGTGAACTTCGGGTCCCGGTCGCTGATGATCGCCGATGGGATGCCGTGTAGTCGCACAACGGTGGAGATGAAGAGGCGTGCAGTTTCTTCGGCGGTGATTGTCGTGCGACAAGGTGCGAAATGCGCCATTTTTGTGAGACGATCGGCGACGACGAGTACAGCGTCGTTGCCGGACGGCCCAGCTGGCAGCCCCGTGACGAAGTCCATCGTCACCTGTTGCCATGGTCGTTCGGGTGGCTCGAGAGGTTGCAGCAACCCAGCTGGCCGCTGACGTGTCGATTTCATGGCTTGGCACACCCTGCATGAGGACACATATCGCTGCACGTCGTTAGCAGAATCAGGCCAATAATACTGACGGTGCAACAGCTTCTGGGTTTTATCAACCCCGAAATGTCCAAAGAGGTTAGAATCATGGACCTCCTGAATAAGGAGTTCACGCAGCAGCCGGTAAGCGGGAACCCAAATCCGGTCAGTTCCGGCCTTTAGGTAATAATTCCCTTTCTGCGTCGTCGCCTGCTGGTGATTTCCAGTCGTGAAGAACGGGTCCGTAGTGTAGCCGTGGGTGAATAGTCCCGAAAGAAGCGGGTTCGAATGGGTGATCAGCACAGCAGCGGATTGGACTGTCGGTCGGGTCAGGCGTCAGCAATATTGTTCGCGCCCTTCTTGTAGGTGATCCTGTAGTGGAAGTGTGACTCCATGTAATCGAGCCACCGGATTTGTCGCGGGTTGAGGTTGGGTTGCGCTCGAAGGTACTGTAGGGATTTATGATCGGTGCGAACAGTGACGTCGGCGCCAGTCAGGTAGCATCGCCACAGTTTAAACGCGTGAATGATGGCGAGCATCTCCCGTCGTGAATCGGGTAGTTGCGCTCGGCTGCCTGCAACTTGCGTGACTCGTAGGCGATCGGTTGTAAGCCGTTGCCAAAATCCTGGAGCAGCACTGCGCCGATGGCGAAATCTGAGGCGTCGGTGACAACTTCGAACGGCTTGGATGGGTCGGCGATGCGAAGAACCGGAGGGGATACCAGCAACTGTTTTAATTCCTGAAAAGCTGCCTCAGCCTCCTCCCCCCACACGAAGTTCCTGTCCTTGTGCAGCAAGTCAGTCAGCGGGCCGGTTATCCCCGCCATATTCGGGATAAACCGCCGGACATAATTCACAAACCCCAGAAAACTCTGAAGTTCCGTGACATTAGTCGGGGCCTTCCACTCCTGGATGGTCTTGATTTTCTTCGGGTCGATTTTGATGCCGTCGCGTGAGATGACGTGCCCCAAAAACTCCAACTCTTGCTTAAAGAACTCGCACTTAGAGCCTTTGGTGATGAGCCGGTTCTCCTGTAGCCGCTTATACACTATGTCGAGGTCGCGGAGGTGCTGCTCGCGTGTCCTGCTAAAAATCAGAATATCGTCCAAGTAGACGATAACACACTTGTCCAGTAAGTCGCGAAATACCCTGTTCGTGGTGCGTTGAAATGTTGATGGCGC